GAAGCCATAAATAGTCTTGCCCATGCCCAGCTGGGATGCCTATGAACCACAACAATCACCAGCATGGCAAGATATCCAGTTTGTCAGAGAGTTCCAGAAACTCAGCTCTTCTAAGCTAAGGCCAGTGCTGGGACAGGCATGGAGAGATGCAGCTGTGATTAAGTCAACCTTTGTTTTTATTTTTTTAAAAATATTTATTTATTTATTGGGTTTACAGTGTTCTGCCTGCCAGAAAAGGGCGCCAGATATCATTACAAATGGTTGTGAGTCACCGTGTGGTTGCTGGGAATTGAACTCAGGACCTCTGGAAGAACAGCCAGTGCTCTTAATCACTGAGCCATCTCTCCAGCCCAGAGTCAACCTTCTTATAAGTGATCCCGACCCATACCTCTGCAAGGAGCTCCAGTAACCCCACTGACTGAATAAGCTGGACTTGGGTAGAATAATTTCTTCAGGCTGATGTTAGTACCGGATCTGGGTACACTGACATTTTTCATGTCTGTCCAAGGAATGCCTCTGACCACATACTTAAGGAAGGCAGGGGGCAGCAGAGTCGTGCTCCATGCTCTATATTCCACGGTTTCTGCCAATGGCCGCTGCCTGGCTATGGCCTTGGTAGATGACTTCACCTAGTAAGTACTCAAATGTTCACTCTAGCTTCAAATGACTCATGAGGGGCTCTGGGGATTGGTGTCCTAGCTCATGGCAAAAGCACTTCTGGTGAGCTTTCTCTCCAGCCCCCTGTGGAACTAGCCTGGACAAACTCTGTTTACGAGAGAGTCTGTACCCTCAGATTCTCCACCCTGAGGCTCTTCCTACCTTTTCACTCCTGTCATGTGTTCAGGTCGGTATAGGGTCCATTCTGACAGAGTTCCACACCCAGGCTTTAGTCAACCTGATCAGAACGTTGGAAGAGAGGACGTTATCTGTCCCACCATCTACCTCCTCTGGCATGGCCATCATGGCGGCCACCAGCGTGGTTGAACTCAGTGGCCAGCACCCACTAGTGTGTCACTTCAGGGTCCTTCAAGCGGACTATCCTGGAGCAGACCCTCAGAGCACAGCTTCTAGCCACCACTGGACCAATCAGAGTTGAGCACAGCCTGAAGGCAGCACCGGGACTCGCTGCTATAGCAACCTGTCCTCATGCCTTTGTCTGCCCCTAGGTGCTCTCACCCCACCCCCCACTCAATGATAGGCAAGGTCTTCCTAGGCAAGCATTTTGAGGTTTCCTGCTCCTGCACCATGGCTGCTATTCCTCATCTCTGCTCTAAAAACCTGTCTTCACTGTTCCAACAGTGAAAAATTACAGCTATGAACCTCAAAGGGAATGAGGGACAGTTAATTCTGGAACAAAATTTGATTGATCATGTCTCAGGAAACACAGAGTCTGGTTACCTCAAGTTTCATTCTCCCACATGGAAGCTGTTTCAGGGCAGTATCAGAACAAAGATAAATCAAGGTAGATCAAAAATGCATTGGTGGAAATATTTGGAGGGCAATTCCAGAAGGCAGTGGAGTGGTGGGTACCAATGTCTCCTAAAGCAGAATGAAGTATAACATTTGACAGAGCTACAGTAAGGGAAGATCAGGAACCATTTTTTTTTTTTTTTTTTATCTTAGAAGATTCTCTTTATTATGAAAGGTAATGGGAGTCTCTTTTCCTACAGGGAAATAGTGGTTGGGATAAAATAAATAAATTTGATAAAAACAATAAAAGAAAGTATAAGTCTCGCGTTGATTGCTTTAGGGATGTGTGTCTTCCTCAGGATTTTTTTGTTGAGCCGAAACCAGATTAAGACTGTGCCCACCTCTTTATGCAGAGAGACACAGGTTTATTGATAAGAACTTTAGATCTCAATCCTGGCCATCTTCCTCTAACCCATACTGCCTCAGACTCTGACTACACAGAGTGAGGACCGGGAGGATGGAAATGGGCAGGACCAGGTGAGGATGCTGAATGAGGACCAGGTTTGGATGGGTGAAGAATGACCAGGTAAGCATGTGAATAAGGGCAGCTCTGTATGGACAGCAGGTCAGGCAAGTTCTCTCTAGAGTGGTGTCTGTTGCACAGGTAAACTCAAGGCACTTTAGAGATCATATGGGAAGCATGGTTTGACTTGGTTGTCATAAATATCACAGTTGGAGTATGGGAAGGAAAGAATACACAGTGTTTTGTCATATGATCCTTCTGAGGTTGAGGAACCTGGTGTTTCCCCTCATGCCAAGTGGGAGAGACATGAGCATAAGACAGAAAACCCCAGAGCTAAAGGTTTGGAAGTAGAGTGGAAAGGAAGGAGGGAGGATGAAGGGAGAGAAAATAAGGGGGAGAGAAAGGATAGAAACTAGAGAGACAGATACAGATGGGGTGGGTTAGAGTGCATTTCTTGGGTTCAACCCACTTTACTCACATCTCTGTTAATTAGTGTATAATTTATAACTGACAGAAACTTGACCAAAAACAGTGGTTGTGTTGTATGAAAGTAATCATAAAGCTACATAAACAGGATAGCTAAGTTCACCAAAGTTTCCAGACTTCTATAATCCATGGAGACACTAAAGAAAGGAGCAGTTTGGTTCTCTCCAGCTCCAATCCGGGGACGTGGACTAGTCATCTATCTTAAACAGAGAGGCAAGATTAATCAGGTGTTCACTTGAGATTGAGAACTAAGGAACTTGAGGAATTTTCCTTGGCAGTAGGAGCTGAAACCAAAAGAGAGAGGTTGCTCAAGAGGCCACTCCAGTTCAAGGTTTGTGTAAATAAAAATAATTTTTAAAAATGCATGGCAAAATGAAGACTGTAGTTCCATGTGTTGTTGAGCAGAATGACAGCCCATAGTATATACGTGGTGAGGTTCCTGGACTGTCTCGAAGTCCAGTCTAACCTGCAGCGTTTATGTGCTAAGAGTCCCAGTCTGCCTGTCGCCCATGGTCCTGGGTTTCCCAGACAGTGACATTCTTCACCTCCATGTGCATCATTCTAGGAAATTGCCTTTTTGGTCTTGCTAGTTCTGTTGTACCTACGTGAGCTTGACCGAAGCAGAGCTCTATGGACCTGGGTTAAATCCCTGGTTCTCTTCTTGGAGTAAATAATGTTTCCCCCTTCCTTAACACCCCCAACAGCTTTCTGTTGGAGAGTAAGCTCAGGGCTGCTGCCTAAGCAAGGGCTCTACCAGTGAGCTGTGTCCCCAGCCAGCAGTCTCTTAACTTCTGTAGCATCAGTGTCCAACACCTATATGCTGAGGTAGTGTTAATGACAGATTAAATAGGACAATAAAATCAACCCGTATTGTAGTTGTTTCTTTAAAAAAAAAAACAAAAAACAAAAAACTCTTTGGGAGTCCACCACTCAGATCCCAGATAAATACACAGAGACTTACTATTATTTATGAATGCCTGGCCTTAGCCTGGTTTGTTTCTTGCCAGCTTCTCTAACTTCAATTATCCCATTTCTCTTTGACTACCTCTTGCTTCTGGGCTTCTTACTTTTATCTTTCCTTCCTTCTTATTCCATGACTGGACCCTGGCACCCTCCTCTTTTCTTTCCCATTCTCCCTTCTTCTCTTGAGCCTAGATTTCTCCTATTTATTATCTCTACATGCCAGCCCCTCCTATCCTTTCTCGTGCCTTGCTAGTGGCCGTTCAGCACTCTATTAGACCATCAGATGTTTTAGGCAGGCAAAGTAACACAGCTTCACAGAGTTGAACAAATGCAATATAAAAGAATGCAACACATCTTTGCATCACTAAACAAACATTCCACAGCATAGATGAATGTAACACATCCTAAACAAATATTCCACAACACTGTATAATTTTTTTATGTATGTAAACATTGACAATTTATTGGTTACATTCCACCCCTTCTTCCTATTTTAATGCTTTTCAATTACTCATCTTCTCACCATAAAACTCTCCTAGTTTGATATGTTGGGTGCTTAGGAACTGGAGAGAACTTAGAGTCCAAGGAATTCCCCTATCTCTGAACACAGGTATCTCCAAGATCCAACCACACACACCTTTATCTCCCATTCTAAAGAACTGGAAAATTCTACCACTAAGCACTTAAGACAGAAGGATCCCAACTTCTACTTCACCCAGCCCTAATCAGATTATTCCTTAAGAAATGTTGAGTCTGAGATGTCTTGGCCTCCCAGAGAAGTTATGTTCCAGTTGGGCTTTGTGTACAGGCAGAAAAGCAGGAAACTAGTGAGAGATACCCTGTGTACAGGAAGTTAGTAAGAGATGCCCTTTATTCAACTGCTCTTCTCTGAAATAATCTGGGCCTCACCCCAAGGTTCTGATTAGACACCCGGATTCTAGCTATGATTGCCTCACTCATGGAGAGATCTACCAAGAACAGGAATACAATCTCTATGCAAAGAATGACCCATGTTAAGAGTTCTTCACAATCTTGATAGCTAAGATGCCTCTCTATTCTGAAATTCCTAAATGAGCACCCGCAATACAACCATCCTCCTTTTAAGAATCTGGGCTTGTTCAAGTGGGATGTTTTCCTTAGATTGACTTTGGGTTCCCTAAAACCCAAATGCAGATACAGGTCCAATTTTCCCTGTCTGAATTCAAAGAAAGCAAAATGGATTTAGGAAGCTTCACTGACAACCATGACCAGTTATGTTCAAACATGTGAATCTATGATCCAATAGTATAATGTGCCCAACAAAGATGTTATGCTAATTGTAGACCAGAAACCCTAGGCAGGACAGGGCTTTCCTCATTCACTCCAGCAGGAACAGCCGGAGAGACTCCTGGGCAAGTAGACCTCTGAAGTTCCTGTTGTCCACAGAGGGCTGAGTGGATGGACAACTGCCCTTTATCTTGCCTCACCTCTTTTCATGTCCTGGGGCTGTGTACACCGTGTGCCAACTCCACTGCCTCATGTGACTGCCTTACCTACTGCACCACCCCAGGATGCTTTGCCTACCTTTGTTACAACTGAGAAAACACACACACAAAACAATGGCGACTCCAGGCCTCAGTCCATATGAACAATGCCCTTTATTTAGTAGAGAAAGGGTGGCCTTGCCAGATGCAGATGGCTCAGCAGACCATGGTCTGTCCTCCTGCCCTGGTAGTCTCAGCAATAAGACAGAATGTCTGAGAGAGTGGAGCATTTTGAGTCCCAAATAGAGTTACCTGGGGTCACTATTGCAGAGGGAGGGATATTTCTCCATAGCCAAAAATGCCCTGGTATCACTCAGAGGGACTCTAAAAAAGTCACATGGAGGAGTCTTATGATTCTGTTGGCATTGCTGCCCATGCCATTGTAGTTGCGGTGGTATTGGTCTCTTCTCAGATGGCTGAAGAAAAGAGGTCCCCTGGCGTGAGGAAGGAGCAGCAGCCAAGCCAGAGAGATCCACCTTTTTTGGAGACCCAGTCAATACATCTTAAATGTGAAGCCTCTGTGGACAGGAGAGCCCTGAATAGGGACATCTGAGGCTGAGACTGGATTCCAAGAACAGCTTTCTGTCTCTACACAGGATGATGGCAGGGTGGGTCTTGCCTCACAAGAGAGCAGAGAGCTGCTGCTTACACAGCCTCCTGAAGCCAAGAGAAAGCTAAATTGAGCTAGGTGCTGTGGGGAAAATCGCTCTCAGGGAATGAGGTGCCCCAGGTCATGTTCCTTCAGGATGAACTGGGTTTGTCCTGGTGGTTTTTCTATGTAAGTCACAAGACTGGAATCCACTGCCTCTGGAAGGCTGGTGTAGACTTCACAGTCTGCAAATGCTATTGACCATCTTAGGCCAAACACAAAGGTCGAGTCAAGCAGCGAGAATAAAAGAGGATCCTACACCAGACTCGGGTGTGACTTCTCTCGATGAAACTGCAGGGAGAGAAAATCCATGAGAAGCTTCATTTCTCACTGGGGAAGCCTGGGACACCGGGGGCAAACCTAACCTTCCGCATAGCAGCAAAGGCAGGACCAAAGGTGGCTTTGACCTCTACACGGTCTCGGATCCAGGCTGGCAGCTTCGCCAGGACAGCAGGGCGGGCATAGCGATGATCCAGGAGCACAATGCTGGCGAAGTCTCTCTGGTGCCTAATGGCCCTGCCTGGGTAGTCACACAGGTTGGGACTCTTGAGTTCAATTGCCTACCAATACTGCATGTCCAGTGAGTCTCCTCCCTCATATGCTTCTCAAATGGACAACACAGCAGGAAAATCCCTCCTCCCTCAACCCATCCATCTGCCCAAGCAGCAGCCCAGATCACCTATGGATTGGTTTACAGCCTTCATACACAGATTCTCCACCAACAACTTCCCAGGGGGAGCCTGACCTCGTGTTCTAGGCTAAGAAAAAGAATAAACAGAAATTGGAAGATGAGAACTCCCTAGACATTTCCTTTCATCATCTGAAATACTGCCAATACTCACAAGGGTCTGATCCAAGTAGGCCATCTTCTCTTGCAACTCTGGAGACTTAAGGTTGGGGTAGGGCATCCCCACCATCACCACACACCTGCAGTGGGTTACATGGCCCATGGCATAAGTGACAAATAGCCATGAGGTCATCATCCACATGAGATCTACTACCTGCGATTTTGAACTAATTGTGTGTGATTCCAAGTCATGGCTGCCCACTTCTCTGTTCCACAAAGCCAGATGGAGAAAGGGTTCAGACATTACACCCACACCCTACGGACCCCAAGCTGTCCACATGGGTACCGACCCTATGGCATGGCTCGCCAAGTAGGGCCCAGGGCCCTCAGCCCCAGAAGACAAAAGGACACCACACTTACCGACCCAGGTCATCAGAGAAGTTGATCCCTTCACTCATCTTCCCTCCAACCACAGAGAGCAGCAAGGCCCCTGTCAGATGGCTTCCTGCCTGAATGCAACACTGTGAGGAGAGCCACACCAGAGTGCCTGAGCCAAACCTGGGAGATCACAGCTGTTCCCAGCTGCCAGGCACAGAGGGCCTGTGGATCCAGCCTCATTACACCTCTCACCGTAATGCACTTGGAATATTCCATCAGCACCTGCTCCACCTGGCTTGCTCTCTTGGGCTCTTGGAATAGCTGTAGGAAGAAGGACACCCAGCAAAAAGCTTCAAAAGACTGAGTCTTGAGCCTCAGTCTGGGGTTTGAGCCTGGGCATGGAACATGTAATCAAGCTTTGGGGAATCCCTGCAGCCAGTGTCCAGACCTAGACTTGGTAGATTTAGAAGCTGGGAGAATCTGGACCATGCCAATTCCACAAGACTGAGGGCCCTGGGAAGAGTTGCAGGTAGCAATGTCTTCATAACCAGGCTAAGGGGCACTCACCTTTTTCTTGACAGACAAACGTGCCAGCAGGCCAGTCTTGTCCCAATGCGCATGTACCTGGCACAGGTACTCATAGGAAGGGAAGAAGCACACCACCCCTCCAGGGACCACGTTGCACAAGTTACAGAGGATGCGGCCTGTCTCCTCCATCTGCAGGAGGCAGACAAAGAGCTAGCCCGGAACAGGACCCAAAGCCACACCCACAGAGGATAGAAGCCAAGCATCTCCCTTTCTACAGCATGGAATGCACTACCCTCTTAATAGACATGCCCAACTGGGGATTGTGGTGAGTGCCTGCCTTTATGACACAACCCATCTCTGGCACCCCAGAAATGAGCCAGACTTTTGGTATGAACTGAGATCTCCCTAAGTCACAGTATCAAGAGGGACATTATCCAGAACAAATAAGCATTGAGATGTCACAGGAGTTGTGGCCAAGAAATGCATCCTTCCCAGGATACAGGCAAACAGCAAGAGGCCCCGCCCCCCATTGTTGGCCTCCTTCCATCCTGCATTAATAGGATGCTGGGAGCTCTTTAGAAAACATGTAGTAGTCTAAGGAGAGTGTGGGAGCC